GGCCAAGGAAAACCTGCTCAAAGTTTTATTATAGAAATCTACTAAAATTATTTTATTCTTTTTAAAAAATATTCTTAAAATTAATTTTTTCACAAAAGATTGCATTGTCATCAGTTTCTAAGCTATCCTGAAAGTTTCAGCTTGCTAGCTAGTCTGGAAGTGAGTGAAATTTGAGTTTCAAAATTTGATCCGGACAAACAGACAGACAGACAGACAAGAAAAGTGAGTTCATAAAAACGTGGTAAAAAATGTCACCCAGCTGTCAAGAACTTTTCAAGGGATAATTTTTCTGCAGAAAATAAAAAAATGCAAATTTTCTGGACTTTGGCTCTTTTGATCATGCTGGGTATTTTATTTTATTTTTTACCAGTGGCACAGAAGTGTGCAACTAAATCCTGGCAGAACATCCAAGGGTTAAGCAGAACTAACAAAAAGAGTAAGACACAAAAAGACACAGAAATCAGTACCAGAAATCCCTTTGTAATTTCTAATCAGGAAAGTTTAAAGGCATGTTTCTTTGTCCCAGAAGATTTCAAACAAGGGGTTCTTTGTTTGGAGCTCGATATTATTGAAAGGACAGGTGCAGATTGGGAAAGGATTACTGGGATGAATAGCATTCCTGGAATTCTTTCTACCCTCCTCTCTCATTTTATTTATATTTTTTTTTCCTCTTTCAACGCATTCTCAATAAGAGACTGATCAGCTACTATAAGAGACAGGCTGTAATTCAGTTCAAGCTATTCTGAGATCAAGCCATTTTTACAGAACAGCTTCAATTAGATACTTGACATTTACAGCAACACAGTACGTCATCTCAGAGTGTGTTCATATGATGCTGGAACATACGCACTTCAGATATGGTTTTTTTTGTGCGTAGACTGTAACGAGAACCTTCACAATCCCCTTTCACATTTGGCATAAAAAAAAAGGAAAAATCCCTTGCAAATGCATTAAAAATTATTTTTCTTAACTTTCAAGCACAGAAAGTAACTGCGCAGAGCGTAGCAATTCACACTGAAATTGACCTTTTGACTGGCAAAAAACTCCAAAAGGCAAAAAACAAGCACACATATTATGTACCCAGTGCATAGAAAAAAACTCTGAAAAGACACAGAGAAAATAAGAGCATGCCAGAAAATAATTCAGAGGAAATGAATAGCATGTGGTTTTATACTGTACGTGGATAGCATTAGCTCAATTTCTTCTTTAGGTGCAGGACTCTTCAACAGTTGTCGCGTCAGCAGTCGAAAATGATTATTTCGCTGTTATCGGATTCTTGATCATATTTGCTTACAGAAAATAAAAAGGTTGAAAGTATTCCATTGTATTACAATACTGAAAATGAGAAACTAAAATACTGTAGTTGAGCTGTTGCATTTTGGTGAGCAGTTGCTGTGTGCTGTTCTCTGGGGCAAAAATCGGTGGGTCTTTACCGAAAAGGGAAACCAACACTTCTGAAGAAAATAAAGGACGAGGTTGGGAATAAGAGGCAGCAATACTGTATATAGAAATAGACCCATTCAACATACCAACAGCTGGCTAACGAACACCACAAACACAGGCTTCAAGATCATACTCCAGTTGAAAATCCTGTGTTCATTAGCAGCAGGAATAATAAAATTATCCCACGTTGTGAGAAAAAAAAACCCTATTTCGAAAATTTCAATCAAAAATGCTTAAATTTCATAAAACTTAAACTGTGGAAATTTTCCAAAATCCGAGGGAAACGATAAACTTTGGGCTTACTTTCACGTATTGTATTTGTGATTTGGGAAATTCAGAAATTTGAACAGGAAAATAGCTTGTCATATGATCATTCCAATTCCATGCCAATAAGTTTTAAATTTGTAACGGTTGGCTGAAAAATGCACACATTTCAGGTTTATCTTGGGGTTTATTTGTGATTGTTCACAGAAGTGTTCCCCAATCCCCTGGTCAGTTGCAAACCAGCCCTGGTTACCAGCGTTTTTTTTTTTTAGTCCATGGGACATATTATAATCAATGTATCAAAGTTCAGCATAATAATTTATCAAACGTAGCAATGAAGCCTGTTATCTTCATCTCAATTTGAGAAAAAACAATGGCAGTTGAAAGTATCTGCTGAAAAATAAAGTTTGCTTCTCTTATAATTGCACTTTGAAGTTTAAACACTTTTTCAGCAGCTGAAATAAATTCTTTTAGTTTTTCATTCTGAGAAAACCTTCTTCAGGCCCACCTTTCTGCTTTTTTCAGAAACTTTAGCTGCTTCATTGGTTCTCAACTTAATTTTTGCAAAAATGTAGACACGTTTTATGCAGAAACCTGTCATAAAGTCTTTCAGACAAAAAATTTTTTGAGTCCACAAAATTTTATGAAACTTTGCCGGTCTGCAGAAAATTTTACAAACATTTGCAGGTCTGCAGGCCCAAAACAATTGGGTAAAACTGGTTTACAGTACATTGACCTAATCTGAAGGGAAAACATGTTTTACATTTCAAAAAGGCCATACATGCCAAAGCACATCCAGGATAATGGATCAGTTCTGTTATGAGGGGTCCCACCGTATTATTCTAGTGTTACAGTATTGTCCTACACTCTACACTACTACAGTACTGTACAGTGCATACCTTCCAGTAGTGGCCGGCTTCTGTCGCTTATGTGCTTGACCCTTTTCAGATTCACGCCCCTCTGAATCTCATTGAGTAGCTGATGATGAAGATTCGGCTTCTCTGAATCGTACACAAACTAAAGGAACCAGCAACACAGACGGGAAGTTCAAGATTCAGCCCAGACCAGTTGAATTCGAAGAGTTGAAAATCCCTGACCTGTCCTTTGGACTTCATCCGAGGCAACAGGGGCTGGCTTCTGTCATTAGTAACCACTTTCCGAAGCTTGTCTTTGGTCGCCTTCGACTCCAAGTCCTTCATCAACGCTGACCAATCCGGACGCTTGCGTGGACGCTGGCGCAGCTTGTCCAGGTTCTCCGGGGGATTTGTTGCTGAGAAAATAAGCAGAGAGGAATCTTGTCACAGCCAATATCATTATGCAGTTGAACCTCTCCAAGTTGAATTTCAAGGGACCAGGAAAAAAATTTGACTTAGGGAGGTTTTGACTTAATAAGGTTTTGGGTACAACACAGAATAAATAAATAAAATTAAGGATGGTAAAACACCCAAAAAGGGTATATATTGATCTCCTACATATATCAAATTCAAAACATAAGGTTAGGAAGAGATTCCTTCCTTTCAATTTTGAAAAGATGCTCATTTTTGTGAGTGGGTCATTGCTGCAGTAGTAAAAAGAGACACAGTGTCTTTTTGTTCAATAATTGGGGGTGAGGATGCTGCATCAAATTAAAGCGGCTCTCCTCCCCCCCAAAAACAAAATGCCTGCAGTAAAAAAATGTCCCTCCTTGTATAAGAAAAATTTGACTTAGGGAGGTTTCCCATGCACTTTTTCAAGTTAGGGAGGTTTTTTAAACATTATTTTCTAAAGGATTGGAAGGGGACTGGGGAAAATTTTGACTTAGGGGGGTTGTTGACTTAGGGAGGTTTGACTTATCAAGGTTGGACTGTAGTTGATTTTTGGTCAGAACAAATTGGTTTTTTTTTCAGGTCCCTGATGCTCAATAGCAACAATGTTGATCACATCCCTGTCTGTACAGGTGGTACCTCGCAATTCAACCTCCTGTAATTTGATCATCCTGCAATTCTATGGTCAAATTTGCTGGGAGGTTGACTCGAAATTTGACCTCTGTCCTGGAATTCAATCTGCAGGAAGGTTCAAAATGTTAAATGCAATATAGGAAACATTGCATTTGATACTGTCTCAAAATTTGACTGCTTTGCAATTTGACCTGAATCCACCTACCAAATGGGGTCAAATTTCATGGTACAGTACCACTTGTATAATGCAGCTTTTTCCCCAGTGCCAACAGCTTCATTGTAACACAATTTTACTGTACAATAAATGCAGATTTTATTTTTGAGAAATTTAAGTACTGTTTATACTGTATTTACTTGATTACCAAGCACCCCCAATGTGAGGGGCACGTAAGTTTTTTGGCAAGAAATTTGCACAAAGATGTATCCCTGGGTTACAGATTTACCACTGTTTTACATGTTATAAAATCGAATTTGTATTTAAAATTATAATTTTCAACAAAATAATCCACAAAAGAAATATAAGAAGCTGCATACTTTTAACACAATTTAAGCCGAATAAAAGGCCCTGTTCATCATTTTTACCCACAGAGTAATTGCTTCCTTGCGGCTCCTGCCACTAATTACCTACATTTTTGCTCCAGAAAATGTATACACGTGTACCAAGCACACCCCACTTCTATTGCTTGATTTTGCCAGCAAAATGTGTGCATGGTACTCCAGTGAATACGGTATATGTACAGTGAAGCTCTGATATGCGGACATCCTGACCCCTGAACCAGTTAACCTCCAGACACTTCAGAACTCAAAATGTTGCCCAACAAAATTTATTTGTTGTCCCAATAACATACCATTTTCATCATTATTTCAGACAGATGTAAAATTGTAGTTTCTCAGAATTTTGATATCTCTTGAACAAGTTGAGTTCTTTCTACAGAGAATAATCCAAAACACTTAATTTCATAAATATACTCCAATTCATAAACCAAAACAGGCCTTATGCTTATCTTTTAACTTTTTTTATGAACTGTGTACAGCACAGGTATACGAGGGTTCTAACAAAAGTTCTCGGAATAAAAATGAAGATGGCGTCTAATTGAGCTGGAAAAAAATTATTCTTTAGGGCAACCATATTCTTTGGCACAAAAAAAAATCAGCCCAGCTTGACAATTTTTTTCAATTTTTTGCAAAATTTACCCTGGCAGAGTTTTGCTATACACTCAACAGATGAGGCACCCTTCCTGCAGCTTTTTTTTT